ATATATAGGCAATCTGCTTTTGAAATTGGAAATTGCATATATCTATCTTGAGTAACCACTGTTAATGGACTAGTCTTTGAAATTCAATTCCGCTTTGTCATATAAATAAGTGGTGACCTCATCTTGTGTTATCTTCCATAATGTATACAGTTTAGAAAAAAAATACTTGAATGGATGGTCTTAATCCTGTGCCTTTACATTTACACATACAGTTGAAAACTAGTTATGACATTGCTCTATAACTAATGTTGTAGTCTCAAAATGGCTTATTGCGGGCACACATTTCTGCATTCCATTTTGCCAGAAATTATTGTTATCAAATCAAACTTTTTTATAGTCAAAGACCGGCATAAGGGGAGGGAGGTGTAAGGTATTTAAAACCATAAAAATGTAAAACATAAAAATAAAATTATATAATCTCAAAAAAAAAAAAAACCAATCTAAAAAGCAAGGTAAAAATAAATGGGGGCATAAAATATAACAAAGCGTAACGTAAACAAAAATCATAAATACAATAAATCTAATACAAAAAAAACCACTCTATAATAACTGTCTAAGGTGGTCATTAAAACTGCATCTGTTACAGGTCATCTTCTGATATATTTTAAATGCTGCTATGCAGAATCTGGCAACATTGAATGTTGTAGCAGGGTTAATATCTGAGAGCAGTAGGCATATGTAGAATTGTCCTATGTGCCCTGGGTATTTATTCAGTAATGGGAAAATTAGGCTAATTCAAATGTCTTTGTAATACAGGCACTGGAAAAGTATATGTTCTGTTGTTTCTATGTTTCCAAAGTTACAGAGGTATAGAGTCTCTGGATAGGGAATCTTCCTGTATCGGGCCTTCAAGGACAGCTGAGGGAGGACATGACATTGTACCAGAGTAAAGGCACTGTGTGGTTAGATACTTCAAGAATGTTTACATATGCCATAGGAGAAGCAGAATACCTGTTGGATTCATTGGACATTAGGTTAGAGACCTGGTTAGGTCTAATTGGTACTCTTGTTTTTGCTACACACTGGCCTGATCGTATCCCATGCTGAGTAGAAGACTTGGAAAGTATCCTAAGGATGAAATCTTATTTGTCACCTATCTTTTTCTATATGGACTGAAAATCATCCCTCATAGTTAGGGGGCAAGGCCAAGAAGGAAAAAGGATGGTTTAAGCCAGTAGTTTACTATGTGTTATCTCTACTTTCATGAGGCATGTCTCTAGCCTCAAAGTACTGTTAGAGACACATTTTGGGGCTTGAAGGGCCAATCATAAGAATTTGGACTGAATAAGTTCTAATGGTGCAAAGTTGGAGAAGGGCTTCCATAGAAAACCTTTGGCTATTGGCTTGGCTTCAAATAATTTGAGCTTCATTAATGTAATGGCCACCTCTTGTATTAAGGAATTTAAGGATTAGTGTTAAAATTCTGAGTTGGATGCTATTTTTCAGCTATAATAGAATAGTCCTTTCTGTAAAACCTCGATTTCTTGGGAAAAAAGGAGTTTCAGTTTAACAGTATTTACATTGCAAATAACTGACTGTATTGAGGTACGGTACATACTGCTTCGAATATGAACCGACAATGTTTCACCCTTCATTGAATATTCTTGCTAGGCTCCTTTTAGCAGAAGAGGAAGATTAACAAATGAGTTTCCAGAGCATGGTTTGTTTCTTCCATAATAAGCCAGAACTGGAAACCATGTCTTAAAGTGATTGCTTATTTCCTGAAATTTCCTGAGACCCTTCCAAGCAATATCTTATGGTTACTTGTTTGTAGATACCAATCTGTTATTTTACTATAACTAATTTCATTATTAGTCATACAAATATGTTCACACATGATGCTTACTAACCAGGTGGAGCTTTTTAACCAAGATGCCAGCTTTTTGAAATCACATATTTTAATATTCCAGCATAATTTGATGGAACATTGCTTTTTACTGCTCTGCTGAACAGACTTGGTTTGAAAGAAAATGTTGAAAATTGCTTTCAAGATACCAAATGCTTTCTGAATCAAAGTAGAATTGCTAATTTCCTAATTTACTGGATGTAGTTTATTTTTCAGACAAAGTAGTGATAATAAACATTGTAATGAGAATGAGTCTTATATGCTTTCCATAGTTTCAATACTATCATACTTGCTAGATAGTTGGGAAACACCTCTTTTGTAGAACTTGTATGCTTGTTCTGTGGTTGACATGTAGTTCCTTGTCTCAAGAATTTTAAGAAAAATCATCCAGCACTTAAAAAAATAATTTCACAAACATATTTGGTACAATATAAGGAACTGTACATGAAATTAATTGTTTTATTTACAGGTCATTGCCATAGAATCATCAACAAAATAAGAGGTAGAATAATAACTACTTCATACATCAGGCAGGCCAAGAATAGTCACAGATCTCTTAAGCACAATACACAATTTTTCAAACAAGTTATTTAAGAATTCTTTAAAACAATTTAATTAATCTTTGCAAACAGAGACCTCTTTTCAAATATTATCATAGCAAAGAATATCCTTTATTATTGCTTTATCTTTACTCTTAAGAGATATCTGTATATCTGTGTATAACCAGATTTTCAAATCCATTGCCATATCACCATTGATAAAATATATAACTATATAACTGTTGTACATGTCTGGATTTATTAAGGCACATTCTAAACTCCTGAATAGAATAAAAGTCTTCAAGTTTCTAATTCAATTTGATTTTCATCAGTTGCTTGCTACAATATTTAATCCAATTTACTGTGCTGTCTGGCATTATTATTGATTGTGTGATTATATCCATTCATAAAAATGCATATCTATTTCTGCAAAATGTTTGTCAGCTGAAAATTGCAGATCTACTTTGTTAAGTTTTCATTGAATGTCTATGGTATATTTATTTCTATGATGTATTTCTAAATTGGCCTTTTTCCAGTAGAGTCATTGGTAAATTAGAATTGGCTATGTAAACTGGCATCTTCATTTTAATTAGAAAATCCTGGATAAGAAGAGATTTATTATGGAAAGCCAAAACTGTATTTATAGATATAATCAGACTCCAATATGTTCAGGACCTCCCCATTTATTTATAATGTCTTTTCTGCTGTTTTATGCTGTGCACACCTTAAGCAGTTCTTTGCAATTACATTTAACAAACAAGAAATGTGAAATTAATCTATTAGCATGCAATATATTTAATTTGTTTGTACAATTAATGCCTAGCCATATAGAATATATAGGAATATTGCACAACATATTACTAAAGAACATTTTCTCTAGGTAGGAATTAAATTTTACTTTTTTAAGTTTTATTTTTTAATTTTAACTCAGAAGATAGAAGATAGAACTCACTGTTAACTTGTAAAGGATGAGGTAAATATTGTTGAGTCAATCTTGACTCTTGGTAAGTATGCAAATATAGTTTTTATGTAACATGATGGAATCAAATCATTGGTTTGATTTCCCAATCTAGTCAGCAGCACTGATATTTTTCTCTCATTCATAGATCAATATATTATCATATATTAGGCAGGTATTCCTGCTTACCTTGTTCAATATCAACCAAAGTCAGCTAACTAACTGCTGCTTGCCTAAAATAATGAATATTTATTTTGGGGGAAAAACTCACAATATAATAGCACGATATATGGTATACAATGGTATGTAAATATTAATAGGAACAATATTTATCCTAAATCATGCTGTGTTTCTGTTTTACTGTATAACTAATGCAGTATAACTAACACTAATATAGCAAGAATAATTTTTATTCTATAAATATAAAATGAAAATCAACAATCTAAATAAAATTGCATCTGAATTATTTTCATAAGGAGAGTGGAATCAATTGTACTAAAACTAATGAGATTTGAAAAAATAAAAAAGTGTTTTGTTTTAATCAAAAGCCCAACTGATTCATCATTATCTCACTGATTATTCTGAAGAAAAATATATGTATAGAGGAAAATAATTTGCTTATTTACTTTTTTGTAATCAATTTATATGGTCACCCATCATAACAAGCAACTCTGGGAAATGAACAGCATTAAAATAAAAAAAAAATGTGTTAAGCATTACAAAAATTAAAATATAAAGCAACTGAGAAATATCAAATCCCACATCACTGGAACAATCAAGAAGTAACTCTGTGAACACACCCAGGGCCCAAGCATAGAACCAGGACTTTTAGGCCCTTCAAAATAGTCTTGGGCATCCTAGTTGTTTATGAAACTCTGAGAATCTGTTTGAGTTGTACTTGTAATGAGCATAAGATATTAGTGAACACAAAATACTGCTATTCTATGTTTTGGGTAAGGAAGTACAGACTCTGTTATACATTTTTACAAAGATTTTTCAGTAAAATATGCTAGTTGCATCTTGTTATGCTTTTAAAATGGATAATTATTGACAATCTAGTACTAACCTAGAACTTGTATTTGGTGAATAAAACCATGTAGATATGCTCCAGATATTGCATCTGGCCACATAGTAAAAACCATGTTATGTACTTTGAGGCTCCTCTATCAACTTGGTAAAGTATCTTGTCAGAGGTTTTTTTTTTAATTCACTATTTTGGATTCTGATTTAAACTCTGCATTTTAAAAAATTAGATTTGAAAAATGCAACCATTTAATGGTCAATTCTGTACATTTGTGTTGGTCAGACATTAACAGGTTTTAAATAATTTTGTATTAAATATTGTCTGCATGCAGAAAGGTACTAGTATTTAAACTAAATAAACTATAAGATCTTAATGTTGAAAATTGTGAATTGAAATTTATTTTTCTTTCTTTTCAGACATACTGCTTTATAGTGACAGAAGCAACTTAAAGAGAATAGAAGAAATAAGATCGGTGAGAAATCATTGGAATATTTACTGTTCATAAAATCATAAGAGAATCTTCCATTCTTTGGATGCCCAAACATTTAAAACAAAAACTTTTGATTTCTTACGCTGTCAAGCTATATTTGATCTGCTCTTGTGATTAATAAGGAGAAGCTAGAAGAAAACAATATGGCTCATATTAGTTTCGCTTTAAAGATTTGCCAGCTGGCACTGGGACTGCTCATAAATTCATTTCAAGCAACATCCATACAAAATAATGAATGTCCACAATTGTGTGTCTGTGAAATAAGACCCTGGTTTACTCCTCAGTCAACCTACAGGGAAGCTCCAACAGTTGACTGCAATGATCTTCGTTTAACAAAAATCCCCAGTAACCTTTTCAGTGATACTCAAGTCCTTCTCTTACAAAGCAACAATATTGCCAAGACCACAGATGAACTCCAGCAACTTTTCAATTTAACAGAATTGGATTTTTCACAAAATAATTTCACTAGCATAAAAGATGTGGGATTATCAAATCTTTCTCAGTTAACTACTTTACACTTGGAGGAAAATCAGATCACAGAGATGACAGACTATTGCCTACAAGACCTGTGCAATCTACAGGAACTTTATATCAACCATAATCAAATCAGTACAATTTCTGCAAATGCATTCTCAGGCTTGAAGAATCTTCTAAGACTTCATCTTAATTCCAATAAATTAAAAGTTATTGATAGTCGTTGGTTTGATTCTACACCTAACTTGGAAATTTTGATGATTGGAGAAAATCCTGTGATTGGAATACTAGATATGAACTTCAAATCACTGTCAAATTTAAGAAGTCTAGTTCTGGCTGGAATGTATCTGACTGATATTCCTGGAAATGCTTTAGTTGGCTTGGATAGTCTTGAAAGTCTCTCATTTTATGATAACAGATTGGCTAAAGTTCCTCAACTTGCACTTGAGAAAGTCCCAAATTTAAAATTTTTAGATCTTAACAAAAACCCAATCCATAAAATTCAAGAAGGAGATTTCAGAAACATGCTTCGGTTGAAAGAACTTGGGATCAACAACATGGGAGAGCTGGTGTCTGTTGATAGGTATGCACTAGACAATCTTCCTGAACTTACAAAGCTTGAAGCAACCAATAACCCAAAGTTATCTTACATACATCGTTTAGCATTTCGGAATGTTCCTGCTTTGGAAAGCTTGATGCTTAATAATAATGCCTTGAATGCGGTCTACCAAAAAACAGTAGAATCCCTTCCAAATTTGCGGGAGATTAGTATTCACAGTAATCCACTCAGGTGTGACTGTGTCATTCACTGGATCAACTCAAACAAGACCAATATTCGTTTCATGGAACCCCTATCAATGTTTTGTGCTACGCCACCAGAATACAGAGGACAACAAGTAAAGGAGGTATTAGTACAGGATTCCAGTGAACAGTGTCTTCCAATGATTTCACATGATACTTTTCCAAACCATTTGAATTTGGACATTGGCATGACTGTCTTTTTGGATTGTCGGGCTATGGCAGAACCTGAGCCTGAGATTTATTGGGTTACTCCACTTGGGAATAAAATAACTATGGAAACTCTTTCAGACAAATATAAGATTAGTAGTGAAGGCACACTGGAAATATCAAGTATTCAGATGGAGGATTCAGGAAGATACACGTGTGTAGCTCAAAATATAGAAGGTGCAGATACAAGAGTGGCTACTATAAGAGTGAATGGAACACTTCTTGATGGTACTCAGGTGCTGAAAATTTATGTCAAGCAAGCGGAGTCTCATTCCATCCTAGTTTCTTGGAAAGCTAACTCCAATGTTATGACATCTAACTTAAAATGGTCGTCTGCAACTATGAAGATCGATAACCCACACATTACATATACCGCAAGGGTCCCAGTTGATGTGCACGAATACAATCTCACCCATTTGCAACCCTCCACAGATTATGAAGTCTGTCTCACGGTGTCCAATATCCATCAGCAAACTCAGAAGTCTTGTGTAAATGTTACTACAAAAAATGCAGCATTTGCCCTTGATATTACTGACCAAGAAACAAGCACAGCCCTGGCTGCAGTCATGGGATGCATGTTTGCTGTTATTAGTCTTGCCTCTGTTTCTGTATACGTTGCAAAAAGGTTTAAAAGGAAAAACTATCATCATTCATTGAAAAAATATATGCAAAAGACCTCTTCTATTCCCTTGAATGAACTCTATCCTCCACTTATTAATCTCTGGGAAGGTGACTGTGAAAAAGAAAAGGAAGGCTTGGCAGAAACCAAGCCAACTCAAGTGGACACATCCAGAAGCTATTATATGTGGTAACTCAGATGATATTTTGCTTCTGGTAGTAAGGAGCACAAAGACTTTTTTGCTTTATTCTGCAAAAGTGACAAGTTTGAAGACTTTTGTATTTTCTGACTTTGCTAGTTTTGTGGCAGAGTGGTGAGGACAGGTGGATATTTCAATTTTTTTTAGTATAGCGTATCGCAATTGTTTTCACACAAAAATGGCAGCTTCACCTAGCTTCCAATTTTTTTAGTTGTGCTTAATTTAACCAAGTTGATCTAACTATTCAAAAAATTAAAGGCTGGGATTGTCCTTTGATTTTTCAAGTCGCTTGATCCCCTTTCTTCTGAAGCCATCAACAGGAAGTACAGTATCCTACAAAATCTTAATGATTCCAACTTGAAAATACATTAAACCAGCTTTGTCATAATCTGGTCTAAGGACTCTTTCAAACTTGAGATAAGATGACAAGATTTTGAACAATTTTAGTTGGCTGTACTGTAATGTTGTATCAACTGATTTGAATGTTTTTGACTATGAACAATTCATTTTTTTTCTTTTTTAATAGTTGAAGAAACTTAGGTAAAGCTAACAAAACAATTAAAATATGTACACTTTTTCAATGTAACAAACTAAATGTTAATTATCTTTTATTATATTTAGTAGAAACTTTAAATAATGTAGTTTTTTTCTGTGTAATCCACCAACACCTGGCATAGAATGAAGATGAGAGTACAATAAATTATAGTTTTGTTGTTTGTTTTTTAGAAGAGTTGCAATAATGTATCCTTAAGTTGCATCACCAGTTTTATTGGGTGATTTATGTTTTGACATAAAATATATTCAATCTTCTATAAAATGATACCTCTCTAAGGTCAAATTAGATTCATTATTTTTTTAAAAAAAATCCCTTATCTATAAATTTATTCACACCATTTATATATTAAAGGTAGAAATATTGATGGTCATCAGAAATATGTCTGCTGAAGAAAATGTGTAGCTTTTATATCAACTTCATAATAGTTGTCCTTACAGAAAGACATTTTTGCTTACTTTCTAAAACATATGAAACATGAAATACCATAGGAGAAGTAACCATTGTCATTAAGGTAAGTTAAAAAGAGAATTGGATCCACCTGTATTTTTTAGCACTGCAGTCTTAAGTATATTTTTTTAAGCCACACGCTCATTGATATCCACAGCAAATGTGGTCAACTCTTAGTTCTTCCTTAGGTTGCTCATGAATTAATTGCTCCCAATAAGGATATTAAAGAACTTACTTATTTTTTATTCTTTCTTTGTGAGAATTGACTATTTTACTTCTGCTTTTTGTTCTTCAGCCAATTACTATAAGTGATCTGTTTTCTTACTCTAGAACTGCTGCAAGAAATTTTGATGAGTCTTTGGAAAGCTGAGCTTTTTGAAAGTCCAGTTAAAGAGCTCCTACTTTAACATGACTTTTAAAAACTATCTATATTGTTATTAAAGTCAAATGAAAAGACAGGAAGGAGGTTCTGAGTCAAGTCCAGTCAAGTTTCCTCTGTCCATAGTCCAAAATTTATATTATTTTTAAGCAGCTGCCCTTTTCAATATTTATTATGAAACAGCCATATAAATCATGGGGGTTCTGAATTATTTTTGAGTTCCATAATCATAGTTGCATTAGCAAAATTAGATGTTGAAAGTCTATACCCATCCAGCTCTTGCTTATTTATAATTCCTAACATTTTTACAAAGCTCCAATAGCTGGAAGATGTAATTGAGCAACATCTACAGTAGTGGGGGAAAAAATTGTGTTGTTTCAGACCTGGAACAAATCATGTTCTTCAAGATCTGCTAAAACCTTTCAGATCAGGTGCAACACAGCTGAAATAAAATGCAGAGCATTTTGATTACTTCCAGACTTTCCATAAAACAAAATTAGGAGTTATTCTGGAATAATTTTATGGGGCAAGTAGGACATGGTTGATGTGCTTTGCCCTTACTCCCCATAGCATTTCCCAGTATATGAACAGTGCATATTTTCTCATTATGTGCTGCACTCATTCATGTTCACTGGCCCCAATTTGCCTAGGTTCAGTCCTGTATGTGGAAAAAAAACAGATTTGTGCAACTGTGACATGGAATAAATGGAATAGGTGTCCACCTGTCCTTTTATGGAACCAAAGAATAACGACCCTGACCTATGCAGGTGAAAATGTGTCTGGATTCTTAAAACAAATTGTGTGGACAGAAACAATTATTTTGTGATTTGCTAATTCAACAGGACTATTTCTTACATATATAAATAAAAGTTTGAGTCCTTTTTGTAGTAGAACCACCCTATGACCCTATGGTATCGTATGGTTAGATTGGGTCTTTTTGGCAAAAATAATAAAACTCTGTGGCAGCAGCATTGATATTAGCCTTCTGCACTCTGAAGTCCATTTTTTCATTCTTTGAGAAGATAACCTCCATCTACTGCAGATTTTATGCTGTCACTTAACAAGTGACTGTGGTTAATACCCTATGTATCTTTTGTTTCAGATTGTTTTCCTTTTTAATCTTTCAACTTATTTATTTGGAAGTGCTTTTCCTTGGGGACCCTAGCCATGGATGAATATGTCAATGTGATTCAGATCAAGCACAAGCTACACAGCCAGAGGAGTTTGACTTTAACCTTCAATATAATCTACCTTGCTGCATTTTTTGCTTTAAATGAATGACAGTTATTTCCCACAATGCCATTCAAATGTATTTTACAGAGTGTGACTAGCTAAGCAAGATTAGGCCAAATGTTTCATTTTTTTTACACTTTTTGTTCTGAATGTTCTTAAGCCAATTAAAATCTAATTTTCCCCTTTGTAAAAACAAATGAACACTGACACAAGAGTGTCACAAATGACAGTTGAATGCTGAACAATAAGTTGAAGATTGAGTTACACAGTATGACTACTGGCTGTTAAATACTGCTTTGAGAAATAATGTTATGTGCTGCATAAAAAAACATGCAAATATTTTGCCTCAGTTTAGATCTAATTCAGGAAATAGTCAGCTCAAAGTTACAAATAGTAAGCAAAGCTTTAGCTGATTTCTGACCCATCCCAAGCAATCATCCAGTACAACTTTGATTATACTTCCCATCAGTGAGTGGATTAAACCCATCAGGTCCTGAGAACTAAGAATAACGTGGAGTTATTTAAGAGGAGTTTTCTTTATTATTCTTCACCTACAGACATAATCTTTCCAGACTAAAGCAACTATTTGTAGTATATCTAGGGAGGAGTCATTGTAACCCTCTACCTACCAGTCAAACTGACCACACTTTCCATTCTCTGTTGCCTCTTTGCTCTCTGGAAAACAGCCCCTATCTTCTGAGAATCCCAACAATATTCCACTGCAAAACCCCTTTGAGAGCAGATGGTTAATGAATTTGATCTTTACTGCACACAACTAAGTGATAACAAACATTTTAAATTACTACACACTATTCCTCTCACCATAAAGGAACATGCCTGCAGCATTTCATGGTAATCCAGTGATTTAAATCCATATTGTCTGAACCAAATGTTACCTCAAGATACCTGCCAGATAGAGTAATTAAAATAAACTTTAATTCTGTTAATTCTCCTACTTCCCTAAACATGTGAAATTCAAAATAATGATAGGTGCTGGTCTCTGCACATACTGCTCCCAGCTTTAATAATGTATTAACTGCCTAATCATACTGGCAGTTTACAACACATACATTACATAGAAGCAAACATGAAAATTTTCTCCACACAAATCCAAAATTCACCCACCATCAAATACACTGCAGTAGTGTACTGTCATGGGTGCTCTCTGAAATACTGTACGGGAGGCTTCATCTGAACTTATGCAGACAAGGTGTTCTGTAGGATACATTGCATGACAGCCAACATGCTGTCACACAATGTCAATTGGGAACATAAAACACAAAAGCTTCTTTGACTTGTACTTGGCAATAACAGTCAATGAATGGCTGGCCTTAAAAATCTAAATTGAAATAAATCAACACCACTGCCACAAGCACACAACTAGAGTTATATCAAGGTTTCCTCATCTTTAAATGAGTTGGTGCATTATGCACCAATTACAGCTTCTGGATACTTTTCAAAGGTAGGCTCATGGTGAGGTGATGAGGGTGTGGATAACTGTTGCCAGGGTGTCATGTTCCAGGAAAGACTGCAATGGCACACCAACTGATCTGAGCAAAGCCCCCTTCCTTGCCTATCTAGCAATAGACAAGAAGCAAAGCTTTAGGATGCTGGACTTTGCTCTTCACATTCAGCAAACTGTTAGGCAAACATTTGAACAGCAGAATCTATAACAGCTTAGGGCAATTTAGTTTCCTCCAGATAAATACAAAGAAAGTTACGGTAGTAAAATCTGGGTAAAAGTAGAAAAATCCATGATGTAATCCCAAAAAAAGGTTGTATTGGTTCCTGCATGTATTTCCATTGTTCCCACTGTCTTCTTTTATGCCTTTGACCTATGCTGAGAATAACTCTAAATATTTCTGTCCAGATATTTTTATGACTCTTTACTATTCTACATTATATTATACCATCTATGTGATAAATGTATGGACTTAATCTAGGGAGAACAGGTAGTGAAGTTCTGCCCACTAGTATCCATTGATTGTGACTAATGGAGAAATTGATTTTGACACAAATATTGAATGTGTATGTTACAGGTCAGGCAGCAAAGAAAACTACATTTTTAGCATCTCTTTCCAAGTTAATTCTGGATTAACTTGGGTGATAAAAAGATATCTGAGCACATAACATTGATTGTTCTCTGGGACTAAATGGACATATATTTACGCACAATTTTTCCTGTTTTCTCTCTAGCCATTCATATTTTAGAAATAAAATATTCCTGCTTCTTACATAGAATACTATGCAATTTCTACTGGATTAATTCAATAAAAAGCACCCTATAAACATGATACTATTATTATTTATTTCACTTTTACATTTGTCAAAACATTTATTCATCAGGAATGTGTTCAAAGGTTTCTGTGGGTCATTTCTGATTTAATTTGCACATTCACACATCCAAATCAAAGC